ACCTCCAGTGGTCGAGGGTTCCATGCCTCGAATGTTGCAAACATATGTATTAATAAGCATGATTATTTATATTCGTCTGGTTGTTTACTAGGTTGTTAATTACTATGGTAAAGTAAAGTATGTTGAATCTTTTTGCGATAGAGCTAACTTTCGCGTCAGCAGAACACTAATAACTCATTTTGCGTCGGTCGTACACTGATAAGTTCAATAACCATTAATCGCTATGTCAACAAAATAAAAATGTCCAATTATCTGTTTCTCATTTAGAAAACACCTTACCGCATAATAATGATAAGAAATTTATTGTAAATAACGTAGCTAATAGCAGGTTCGAGCTCATAAAATGGCAACAAAAAATAAAATCCGCAAATTACATTGGATATCAGCTTTGAGCATGTAAATGAAGGTTATCTAGGCACCAGCTAAAATATCAGAGCAATTTGACAACGCAACCCGTTTCAGTGAAGCCCTCCACAATGCGGAACGAGTGAAATGTTGCCAATAAAAAAGGTCAAACGAATAGCCTGGGGCTCGGTTTTCAATATCTCACAGCAGTCGGCAGGTAGAGGGGTGTATTTAGAGGGGGGACCTGTCGAATACATCCTCATTTTGTCTGTCAATCGCATGTTTCTTCGGGGAGAATCAGAGTCGCACTATATTGACATTCCCAACGTCTATTACATTTTTGTGCACATCTTTACGGCCTATGTGGTATTAAATGGACAGAAAGACTATTGCGAAATAAAGAAAAGCTATTTCTCTTTTATTATGCTATTTACGACATATAATACTATTATTTTACATAATTCTTTTTCCTTTGTGTTCTGTTTTGTAACTAAGTAATATCGTGTCATGTCATCCAAAATACTTCAAAGCTTAAGGGCGCAAGCCTACGCGTGCCGTAGTATAATTCCAGAGGAGCGAAGTCGCTCAGTGATCGCTAGCATACTCCCATTCGGGAATGAAACTCCGAACATATATAGATGTTCGGAACTTAACTGTTTTATAGAATCTGATACAATGAAATGCCTAAAATAACTGAAGTAGTCCTAGTTAGTGAACAGAAGTTACAAAAGGCCGGGTACATACTACGACGACCCGGTAACAGCAAATGCTGTATAAGATATCCCTGCGAGATTGAATTACGGCCAGCCCATAGTTTGTAGAAAGTCAATAAATGCTAGAGGCTCAGGACCATCATTTGTTCAATAGTAGATGATAGATAGCTTATGATGAAAGTGACGATGAATACTTAAATAAACATAACATCACCGGTATTACTGTAAAGTGTAAAATTTCAATTTAAACAATAACAAGATTTTGATAATACTTTATATTTTTACGATTTTATGATTGTTTGTATTTTGTTATCTAAATTTAAGGCATGGTATTAATTAAATAAATAAACTATGCATGTTTTATAAAAAATATATAAAATACAATATATATTGGGAATTAAATATAGGTAGCTATAAGAAAACGAACAAAAATACGGAATCTATTCGAATGTCGAAGTCTAGTGCATGCATATAAGTTAGATTCGGCAATAACCGGTTTATTGCCGATCCAATGGTCTCTTCAGGCGGTAGATAGCTGTCAGTGGCATGTTCAATCGGTGCCAAGACTCGATTACAATTACAAATGTGCCTTCAATGTTGTAAATACTCCAGAATATTATCGTTTTCGATTACAACCTTATTAACTTCCAATAATAAGATTATTTTAAAATAAATAATGCTCATTTAATGTGTATAAATGATTAAATGAAGCATGTTAAGTGAAGTTCACTAACTACTAGGTATATACACAATTCTACCGAGGAGTCAATTTAGAATAGCTGTTAGGTACTATGTAATTATGTCTATCTATTGGTGTCCTTTAGGTCGTAAATCCGACAAAGCATGATATAAAGACAGCCAAATTACAATTCACTAATACTATAGGTAATAATATTATTTTATCTTTGCAAATTTTTAGTTCTACCACAGATAACATAATATTACATAGTTATACTAAATAAATAATACTAATTTTAGCACAATGTAACGCTGGGAAACAATAGATTGTGTGTAGTTTATTAAGTGCATATTATTAAGTAAATTACAATATATTGTTTCGCTATTAACGAAAATAACAATATATAAATTAACTTTATACAAAGATAGTATTTGAAAAATGAACAAAACCAATATTTATCTATGTTTTGTTGTACTATCAACTGTTATTAGAAACTAATCCAGTAAATACGGAATGAACTCAGCCAGATGTTGAAATTTATATATCGAAGTCTGCTGAATTCATCGGGTTCGGCCACTGGTTCGGGAATAGCCATTCCTATAGAATGCAACGTCTGCAGGAAATTGCCCTATACATTATATATATCTAAATATGTAGTTCTATAACCTATTGTGATACTTACGGCAGCAGTTATTTAGCAGATGACGAGACTAGTATCTATGAATTGTATATATATACACAGGGTGAAACCATTCTATTTTATATTATACTGTACATAGAAACAAAAAAAATGTACAAAAGAAATGAAGCACAATATAATGAGAATTAACGAGGCTACAACAATACGAACAAATGTTAACCTCCTAAATTAGGCAAATGAACAGACAGTTCAAAGAAAGGAAAGCCCTCGCGAATTGTAACTAAATATCTAGACAGTAGGCACGTACAGGAAAGCACTCTTTACACATATGAATAACACCCTCGTTTACCTGCAAAACGATATTGAAAATCGGGCCAGGCGATCCGTTTTACCTTTTTTTGTTATTGGAACGTTTCACTTGTTCCACATTGTTGACTCTCTGCGTTGACTCATTTTTATTTCTCCGAAATTGAATGACTTATTTATCAAAGTGAATTTTCATGAAAAAAATACTTTGTTATATTGTGGCTCGTTATGGACGCCCAATGAAGGCCGAGTTTTTGTGAAAGTGACAAAAGGAAGCCACGGCGCAATATTTATTCGCAAAACCAAAGTCCCGACATCGTTATTGTTCTCCTACATCGCATGTTTAATTTAAGTAACGTTAATTTGAACGGGATCAAACTCGACGGGTATGTTTCATGGGCAGGAAGAAACTACACCTCGTGAAAGCGAAGAAGGGACGCGCTTTGTCGGTGTGTATAAAAGAAGCAGGTGCGTAAGGGTAAATTTCCGCCAACGAGAAAAATTCCTTACGTGAGACGTGAAAGGGAAAGGTATTTTCTAATAAACACAAGCCTACTCCTTTTTTACTCTCTTGGAAACACTTAATGGAGAGTTTTTTCAGGCCATCTTTCATTACATTGTAAGTTGTACATATAATAAATATAAACAGTATATTAGCGAGTGCCTATTCAGTAAAGGTACGTTTTATAAATTAGCTCTACGAAAATAATCGTTAAGAGTCGTTAATCTGTGAATAATATTCACTGAATATGTTTATTTTAGATCTATCAAGTCTATTTATTATTTTAAATATACTTATATGAAATAAAAAAAGAAGAAAACAATATTTAAACTCGATAGAAAATCATTCATAATAAAAAGTATTTAATAGTAGTATTACGTAAACTATACTGTAATTGCGCAGTGTTAAAATAGTCGTTAACTATTCTAAGTTTTTCTATTTATCTAAGTAATTTTCTTATTTTTTTGTTCCGCTGGTACCTTCTACAGAGTAGAGAAAACAATAAAAAAATCAGTGAAATCGATTCTCCTGTTAAGCCGTGATTAAGGAAAATAGGGATTCAATTTTAAAATATGTAATAATAGGCCCTTAGGGGTAAAATTTATACAAACTTTGAATGACATGTTTATATAAAATCAACAGCCTAAAAAATATGTTTCAAGCTTCTAGCTCTAAAAATGACGATATGTCCATACAAACTTTCATCACCCCTTTCTACCCCTTACAAACCTTTTTTCCCATTATAATGTTGACCGGGTCTAGACTATCTATGTATCAAATTTCATTTAAATCGGTTCAGAAATTTTAGCGTTAAAGCAAGCAAGACAGAAAGAATAACTTTCGTATTTATAATATTAGTAAGGATTTCCACTAGCAACACTAGGTATATTTTAATAATATGAGAAATGTAATATAAAAAAATATGCTAGAAATCATATGACACAGGTCATATGATTTCTAGCATAAAGGTTATATTACTTCCTTCTATGGTTGAACTATTACACCTGCGTAAGTGTTGCTCGTTTATGTACAACTACCCGTTGCCTAGAGGTAGATACGGCAGCGGTAGGTGGTAGTAATTGCTCTGGCAGTGCAGCCGAGTGCGACATCAGTAATTGCTCGGGACCGTACTGTGACCGTCGCCTGATGAATGGAGTCAGTAGAAAAGTTACAACGAAAAAGTCTAGACAACTCTTTACATTAAAAGCGTACAGAGTAGATACTATTTTGTCATCAAATACATAATTCATATCAGGCACTAAGGTTAATCATTAATATTATAACTATTATACTATATATATTTGCAGTACTATATGATTCCAATTTCTTTGATGTTGTATTTATTATATATGAAGCTCCTAAATCTGATAATAAAAGCATAAATAGTTCTGTTTAACGGCAAATAAAATGAAGGATGAATACCCCATAAGCTCAGCACTTTGGGCATTTTCGTTCGTTTAAAATGAACTATTTCTTCTAATATCAGCATCTCAGGGTTTATATATTCTGCCACCTATATACTACAAATCTCACACTAATTTTGTTCCGATGTATATAAATGGAATATAAAGAAAATTTCCGAAAACATTTTTTTAATATCATCAACGCATATATCAACAGTTACGCTAATGTAGATCCTACTATATATTAAATATTACTATACTATTGACACAACCATAGCGATACCCTGATTGGACAAAAAAATTGAGTAAATAAAAACAACTTGCACTTGGTCGGTTTAACCTTTCTCGTACTATATAAGTAATTGCCTCAGGCGTTGTCTTATCAGAAAACAAGTGCGAGTGGAATAGACGGCCTGAGGGCTTTGTTTTGTATCATGCTGTGACGTTTATGTCAATCGACTATAATCTAAATCATATAGTGTTTTATTTCACTCGACCTTATTGTAATTCTATAACTTTAAACATTATTTCTAAAAATTCAGAATAAATCATTAAATAAGTTTTTGTTTCGTTAAATTGGTAATTTACGTATTATTGAATGACGTTTATCAAATCAAATTTATACAACAGAAACCAATAGGTTTGCTCTTATCGTGTTGATTTCAATTATTCTTAGCCTCGGCCTCGGTAGTCTAGCGGTTTAGTACACCAGTTCACTTGCAATGGTCGGGTTATATTCCTCGCACGGTGCGAGCAATTGTATTCTTGAATTTGTATTGGTTTGGGTAATTTCTACGCATATTATGTACATATTAACAAAAAAAATTGATATCAGTTGTTTTGTATCCCTAACACAACTTGCTTAACTTTGAACTAGATGGTGCCGTGATTATTTTAATGGTTATTTTTTTTTCTAATAATAATATTTGATCTGGTTTTATCGAAATCGACGAATCGACAACGACGATCGAAGTGACAAGTGATGAGTCGATATAGCCAAGGTAGAAGGTAAATTGTTGCCGCTGTCGTCATTTTGTATAGGCAGCATATTTGATATATGTTTATTTTCGTGATACATTTAAAAATCTATATCTGAGTTTTGGTGAAATATAATTTTCTTAAAATTGCATACAATAATACGCTTTAATAATTCATTGAACGAAAACATTTTATCTATTTTATATCTGGCCACGGTTCTCAAAGCACGCAAGGCGGACGTTGCCATGGTGTTGTGAGAAATAGCCCCTAAGGGACAGAACGACAGAAACGATACGAACGCCTGTTTGCATACATACTCTACTTTAGCTACTCCAGTTATAATTATATTTCGAAAAAATTGTACAACCAACCAACCTTTAACTTAGGTATATTTATTTAATTCCTATCTATACAAGCACCCCTATTGTACTGGAGGCTAACTAACTAAAACACAGTTACTTTAGGCCGAGAATTAACAAAAGGCAAAGATGTACTTGTATCGGGAGATTTACTACAAAGTATGTCCAATTTAGTAAGATCCCAGGGGAACAATACATTTCTGTATATCACTTTAGTTCACACGAGCGGTGCGCAGGGCAAGAGGGGTCAAGATGTGGTAGTTTAGTTGTGTAAAACAGAATAATGCCCCTCCCCTCCGCAGTCGATACATTAACGTCCAATACCTCGGAGCTTAACCACGCGAAGGGTCTACGAACCACGTGTAATAATTTATTATATGCCTGCTACGTACGGGTACTGTGCTGGTCTGAAATAGCAGTATTTATAGCATATTCTACCGAGGAACCATGAATGGTAAACTGGGTTCTATTCACAAACCGCATACACCTATATCTTGTCCGATATTCATGAAATTGGAGTAAGACAGAGCGGTTTGAGGTTATAAAACACATATATGTCTTTTATACTACGTCTAATCAAATTGAAGAAAGTAAAGTAAAGTAGATTCTACATATTAAATTTTGGTATATTTTAATAATTATATTTCAGATGTATCCATAATGAAGGGAATATTTACTCGTAGATATATATGTAGAGATTAAGGCGGTGAAGTTGATTACATAAAGACTGTGTGTATATCTTTAGCGAGTGCTAATTTATATATTTAATAAAATATGTTCTATTGCGTACTATCTAAATAGACTTGTATAAACATGAAATAGTACAGTAATAATTCAACATACAATGTAGCATGAAAAACGTTAAACATCGTCGGTATCTGTCAACAAACAACAATATAGGTGTTTATCACTGTATCAAATTATAAGATTTGTTATAATTCGTAGCAAGAGATAACTTCATACGATTTGATTAAAAGAACACTCGAAGAAGTATATCTATATTACATAGGTGTTGATGTAGAATCTGAAGATTGGGAAATAGGGTTTTTACGAGGCACCCTTTGCATTATGAACGACATTCGTATGACCCGGTTTTTTATTAAACGTGTCTTTAAGTTCACGTACTGAACAAATCCCCAGAGATGCAGCAGTTTATCTTGCGACACAAAAGGAGACATTTTAAAGGGACCGTTACATATCTGTACGCGGGTATCATTACGTTTTATTTATAGGATTTACTTTACCAAAATTATTTACAGTAAATCACGTGTGTTGCAATTTACAGTGTACGATTTATAATTAAGTATGTAACATTAATTGATGTATGCTGGAAGCACAACACGAAAAAGCACTTACCTAATTCAATTTTTATCCTGTGACATAGACGCATTGGTAGTGTGTGTATTTGCTAATATTCATTTTACAACCGATTGTTATTAAAGTAAATTTGAATTTTGGGCATATTCTAAAATATACAGACTTTGAAAAACTAATACAGTACTTAGGTATAGTGTTACTACCTATATGACTAATCAATAATAATATATACATAAAATTTATAATACGTCTTAAATCATCTTAGTGAGATTTAGTTTATTTCTTTCTTTCTTTATATTACTACTAGTACTAGTAGAACACAATAAATATAAATTTATTATTGTTTATATTAAAATTTTAAAAACAAGATTAAGTACCAAAGTATGTGGTTAATTTTTAAGATTTGTTTTCCTTATATTTTGGTAGAAATATTAATATAGGTTTTTTTTATTTTACATATTAATACATATATTTCAATATATGTACTATTCATGTGTAAATAAATTCGTACTAAACAAATTGTAATATACGAATAATTCTCGTATATTCTTATCTGTTTATTGCCGCAAATTTTAGTTTTATTGGTTACTTCCTATTTTATGTAGAGTCAAATAACCAATAGTATTGTATTGCAAAGAACATGGGATATAAACAGAGATTTTATTATTATTCATATGTAAAGTAACGGCATTTAGCAATGTGGCATCATGCTTAGCGGACGTAGTCAACTTTCACCGAAGCTTCTCATAATACTTATTTTACTCCATCGCCTTCAGGTAAGAATTTATTAATGACATAATTCTATTACATACTTAATAATATGTTGTAATAGCAATAGATTTTTTATTGCACATTTTTATATTATTACTTTTGTAGATACAATAAAAAAATGTACCATCGATTTAAATTTAATTTCACTTGATCTTACACATTTAGAAAGCAAGTATCTAATAATATTTTAAATTAATATAGAAATATTTCAATTACATTTCGTTTGAATAATTTTGGTAAGAAAATGGAACTTGTACAGAAAGTCTTTGCTTGGTAACAGCGGTTTTATTAACGATGTAATAAGAAAGTTATGTTAAAAGTAATTTTATACTTACCAACCTATTTCTATTAAATTTTTGATAAAATATTTTTGTAGGTACAGCTTTATTAATAATTAGGATTGCTTGGTTGCAGGGATTTCTCTTTTTTAATATTATAGAAAAGAGGTTAATGCCTGGGGCTCTTCTTTTGTGGCATGTATTGTAATTACAAAACAATAAGGTTTTTCTATACGCATAGCATAAAACTTTACCTTAATTAAATATATTTTTCACTCATTGTATTGTATAGTTGTCATTAGTAAAGAATTAATGAGAAACAATTTACTAATCATCATGAATCTTGTCCCAGTTACATTAGACAGAGACTTAGTCCACTGTCGATGCTGTGGTAAACCCAGCACATGACATGTCCACATTTCGTTGGGTATATTGAACCCACTCTAGTAGGAGGCGAGCTTACCGCCGTGTTTAAGATTTGTTTTGTTTATATATCAGTGTTTCCATTACCTAAGAAGTCAGTCAGAAATATAAATTGACATATTTTGTCGACTATAGTATTGAGTATAAACTACTAGGTCACGACCCTCTCATTGTATAATATTTAGCTAGTAATATTAATAACATCAGATTGTTGAACCAAAAGAAACTACTTCGCTTCCGCTTATCTAAAGGAAGGTCAGTACCGTCACGTCTTTTAAATATGAAACAGTATGTAATAAGGCCTTCTTGTTACTGCGAAGGCAGTCTACAATCTCTCATAGCTTTGAGGTACTATTTTTATAGTAAGGATATAAATCCCAAAACTTTGGCACAATAAAAATGTGAAATTAGGTAATGTTGCAGATGATAAAAGCTAACATATAGACAGATATAAATTCTAATATCAGTATTTATTCAAATGAAGATCTAAGAGTTTCAGAGTGAAGCAAGAGTTGTGGGTATATAAAAGGTTACAGTCCTTTTACTTGATTATTTTTATGTATCACGAAAGAATAATCTAAGGATGTATTGATAATTAAAGTAAATTATATTTTCTATACAAAACGACTATTCGGTAGGTACATTAGGCACATGTGAAATTTTATTACATGCAGTCATGTAGATATTTCTTTTTAAGTTTCTATATTCTTACCACTTCATTCAGACGTTACCTACTGAAACAAGAAGTTGTCAAGTAACTATGTATTTAATATATACCTAATATTATATAAATAAAGCAAGTAAAGCCTTTATAAATGACAAGCAAGCGCGGAGTAAAAACAGTTTTATTACACAGAATACAGACAGGTTGAGATTGAAGTTAAGTTGTAATAGATGTTAAAAATCTACAATGAACTTATAGAAAATCATTAAAGAAATAATTATGAAATATTTTTTAAACACAAAACAAAGCCGTAACCAACCAAGCACCAAATAAAAGCAGTTTTATTAGACAGAATACGGATATGGAGCCGTAGGCGGATATCCGACCAATCAATACTCGGTTTCATTGGCTATAAATAAGCAGAAAATTCATGCCGTAACAGAAATAAAACCCGTAATAATTATGCCAATAAAGCATTTTGTTGGGTTTTAATTATTTTTATATGGAGCCCTTTATACTTTTTTCTTTTGTTCTTCTATTTTCGTAGTCATTATCAATTTATTTAAGCTTTAATTACGCCTCGAGTATCTTAAGATATACTCACAAAAGAGTAACTGGATTTCAAGATAAAATTCTATTATAAATATATTTTTAGTGATACCGTAAATAATATATTAAGATTAGACTAAACTTTTATAAACAAAAGCTTATAAAGGACAAGGAAATTAAGCATCATGTAATGATGTCGGTTTTTTAAGAATGATTATATTACGTGAATATTTTTTTATAATAATGTCTATCTTTTTATATATTGGGATATCCGTGTAATATACATAACAGTATCATGCTTGATAAGCTGATATGCCTACATAACATTGCCGCCTTTACGATCCTATGAATTCGTTTGTTAATAGAATAGTCACATAATAATATGTTTAAATTGAAATCACTGTCGCCAATATTTGCGATGCATTTAGATATTGTCTATTGCATTTTTGTATAGGTTGATGCGACGACGGTGACATATAAACTGAATGATGGTCATGAAATACCAGTTGTGGCTCTCGGTACAAGTTTGGGACATTTACCTGACGTGAGTATTTCTTATTATTATCTATTAATTCGATAATGATACTTCATAATTAATAAATTAATTCCCCAATTGTAAATTCCATAATTATTATGTTTATTATATTAATGTATTTAAGAACATATTTTATATAATAAGCGATTGTGCGTTATTACATATTTGTGACATAATTATCGCAATAGAGTAATAATCCAGATGGCCTGAGATAATGTTTCATCAATACGGGACATATTATATTACAAACCAAATGCAACTAAAGGCATTACACACAGTTAAATCTAACAAAATATTTTAATAAAGAGAACCGTAAAATTATTTGTCTTCTATTTTAACTCGAAAATATATTGTGGTATAAAAATGTTCGAGATTTTACGGTAGAGTCCAAATATTTTCGATAGAGAATGCGTAAGTTAGATTAGATATTACACTAAGAAAAATATGTATAAATTAATAAGTAAATAAAAATATGTATCTTAGGAATAATCCAGCGAGATTATTTTTCGGCCTTATAGTTCCTATGATGGTTTATAAGGTTGATCAATATTTTATTTAAATATATTGTAAATAACGTCATAATAAAACGGGTAGACTGTTTTTATCTATTTTCTGTTGTTATAACCTATGTTGCCTCTATTTATAGATAAATAATTCTCAAACTGCCTGCCAAGCGTGGGAATTATGGTAATAAAATTAATTCTTCCTTCAGTGGGTTTAATATACAAAATGCTAAATAAGTATGGGTATATTGAAATCACGTTGAATATTAGTTTATATCGAATTTGCACTTCATTATTATGTTGCTTGTCAGTTAATATTTGATGGAAATTGTTCACAGTTTTCGAGCGAAATTGGTGCGACATAAAAGATTGGTAGAAAATTATATTTTGCGTCGCAATCATATTCTCGAGATCGCGTTGAGAATATTTACTGTATTTACGAGGACATGTAATTTTATATTGTATAATAGCACCATCTATATAGATTTCTCTATGAATTGTCTATAATTTATATTTATTATTTACATATAGTAGTATTTTCGTAACTTTTTATTAAAAAGTCTTTATATGTATTTTGTGAAAATATGTTTCATTGTTTAGATTTAAACTAAACACTGAAACTTTTTTCACAAATATTTACAGAAACCTATTGGAGGGTAGACCTCACAAAAATGTACTAAAAATAATCCACTGCAAATTTGAAAGAAGATTGATTTACAATACATCTCCTCAAATAAGGAAACGACATTTGTGAGTTTCAGAAAATGGAAAGATGCAACACGAATATAATATGACGTACCTAGGAGTAATTACCGAGTAATCTTTGCATTTATTATTTCACTAGTTGAGCATGCAACTTTGTACTTGAAATAAACTTATGTACTTGGTTTAAGTGAAGTTTACCACAATCCGTAATAAAAACCGCACCAACAGGGTAAAGCGTTTCTGAATTTTTAATTTTAGTGTACACAATACACACACGTCACGACACGACAATTAAATAAACAAAATTCAAATAATCATTGTCTTGGGCTATTCCATTTATAATAAGTTTTACTCGTATATTTTTAATGTACAAACAGCAATTACATTTTCATTACATTTATAGAAGAATAGATTGAAGGCTACAGAGTAGATTTGTAGATCGCGATTTTATCTAGTTGCTAGGCAAACAGCTACGTCTATTTTGGATTTTATAGATGCAAAGATGTTAACATGTCCGCGACAGGGTACAAGGGTGTTGTCTACTAACCATTCGCTAGCTCGAGCGGTACAATGGGCCCTGGAAGCCGGGTACAAACACATCGACACAGCGCCTCTATACCTCGTAGAAGACGACGTGGGTCTAGGCGTACGCAACTTTGTGAAGAACAATGCCGCACATAGAAAGGATGTCTATGTTACTACTAAAGTGAGTCAACGTGTATTTTAATAGTTTATATTTGAAGTAACATTGATTGTTAATATGTGGCTTTGAAACTCATTTTAATATATAATTAACAAGTTTAATTAATAGGTATACTAGCTGACCCGGAATACGTTGACATAGCATATAAATTATTTCTGGATATGGTCACTCTTATTGCTTAAATATAAACAATAGCATATTATTAGACATACAAAATATACACCAAAAATGTTTTTGATCCTAAATAAATAAATAAAATACAATAAAAATAAAAAAAATCAACATAATAATCCGTCAAACCGTATTGGAGGAGTTCGATAAGAAACACTGTGACAGATTTTTATATTATGTATTAGACTCAGAGGCATTTTTGTATTAAATAACAATAAATATATATATTTATAAACATAGTACATATAAAAGGTATAGGAATAAAATAAACAATTGTACATCATACATTATTTTTATTCCATATTGGTAATCGTAATACCATATGTCGATATCCACAAATTGGTACATGAGTAATAGTTCGTTTGGTTTTGGAGTGGGAATGGGGTTACACAATAACATCATAATCCCCATTAGACATATTGTCTCATGTCTAACGGGGATTGTGAGTTGTATCCGATCCGATGCGTATATATATGGATATCGTGCATAGGCGCTTTATTTAACAGGTTACTAACGAGTGTAATTGGCCGATTGTTATGTGCCTCTAACTGCTCCAGCAGGAAAACATTCGTGACTTTATTAATTAGTCAACAGCTCAATAATTATAGCTTTGCTAGAATACGAAAGTTACTGACTATTAAATAGTTGTAAGCAAGTAATAGTAATTAAATCTTATAATGGATTTCCGAAAGTTTATGTACTTATCAAATATTGCGGTGGACTAGTTGTTTAGCATACCGCTTTATTTGCAATGATAGTGGGTTGGTTTCCTCGCACGATGTAAACATTTCTCTTCATAAGTATGACTATTTGTATCCACCTGGGTGTTTTCTATGTATATTACGTAGGTATTTACAAAGAAAATCTAACAGTTGTCCAGTATTTACAACACAAGCTCTGATTATCTTTGAGACTAGATAGCGTCAATTGTCAATTTTCCGGGGTTATTATTATTACTTACTGTACGCGTAAATTTAATGACTTCTTGTAACATAAGTACATTCCATATCAAATTATTATAATTTAGTATACACACCTGACGTAACTCATGTATCTTGTAATTTAAGCTTTGGAACGATGCGCACGAAAGAGCCGAAGTAATACCGGCACTCAGGAAATCTCTTGAGGACTTGCAAATGGACTACGTGGATTTATACTTAGTGCATTATCCGATGGCGTACAAGGTACGATGTTTGTATAAGTAATTGGGCTCACAAAGCTTTGTGAACCGCTCACCTCTTGAATCCAACATTTCATAGCTGCAGTGATTCAAGTTCCTCTAAACTACGAGTAGATGCATGCAACTAAATGACTGTCTAAGTTATTACTTTCGTCTTGAGTTTAATTAAAATGTTGGCTGCAATGTTGGCAACTTAGTTGCTGCGGAGATAATAATTAAGCAAATTGTAAAATACAATTTTGTGATTAAAATGTAGAAATCAATAATAATTTGACTATTACATATTTTTACAATTTCATAGACTGATCGTTTTTTTCTAACGCTTGCAACATTAGCTTGTTTACCTTTCCATTCAAATAAGACTATATTAATATGAGGAAAACATCAGGAGAGTAGCTATTGTATTTCATTTAATGGATGATAGTGAAGTAGTGTGTGGACCCATCTGGTGGTACATTGTTAGCAATGTTGCCCCTTACTAACAATCCCCGCTCTCAGTTATCTACACATATTCACTAACTTATAACATATCAATCAATCAATGAATAATTTTTTTTATTACTTATACTATACGAGTAGGTATATATCTATAAGTATCTATTGACTTGATTACGGAGTTTACCGTATTTTTACCAAAAAAAACAAAATTTTTACAAACTGAAATTTGTAATGTTTATGATTCATGCATATATGTACTTTGTCAAAATTTGTTCTCATTTCTAGTCGTACAAATGTGGGTTTCATTTCATTATTCCCTTGCATTACAAGGGAATAATGTAGACTATATTTATCAAGTAAATTCCCACAAGAACTGGAGATAATGTATGGCATCGTACGGCCGAAACAGTGGACGACTATTATTAGTAACTACATAAAATAGCCAGATATTTATTTTATTTTTTATTTTTATAAAAACTACAGTATTTGGTTATTTATAATATTCTTCAATGTACTAATGTGACTAAACCTAAGTACGACTACACGTCTCCAATGACTGTTACATATATTTGATATGTAATACTATTTGTAGTACTGCCGAATTCAGCCTGTATTGAATGTGGTGTCTATTTGATACAGGTCTCTTGTAACAAAATATCACCACATTAGCTCTTTTAGATCTATATTAGACTGTAAGTAGTCGTCTGGGTCTCATCATCTTTATTACCTCTTCACCTTAGTCTCACCTATTTCAGACGCTTAGGTACCTTGCTTTGTAAACTATGTTTCGGTTGTAGTAGGGTCTTTTTGGTTAACGCATGACTGGTGTCAAAAGCATGCATAAGCCTTCTCGTATACAGGATATGGTTACGACTTACAAATTATAATCTGACGGCCTACCTGAGTAGGCCGTCAGATTATTTGCTATTCCAATAGTGTGTATTATTTGCTATTCCAATGTTGTAGCTGGCTAATCGGATATGTATTTATTATTAAACTTATAGTTCTTTTATAGTATATTCTAGTATATACTTAATATATTCTGTCTTGTCAATAGTTTCCTATTATATATTATCATTATTATCTATAACATATTGCATCAAAAAATAGCTCTACCGAACTTAAAACGTAGTATTTACAAAGTAATTAGCATTTAGTCACGAATAATTCATAAATAGGATAACAGAATTTAACCGTATAACGAAGCTATTTGGCTGACGAATAGTATGTTTTTTCTAATAAATTCGATGTATAAAGGGAGTGGATGGGAAGGAATTATAAATAATTTAAAAACATTTTGCAGTATTCACGCACAGTCAGTAAAAATGTACAGACCTCTTTTAGCTACAAAGATTTCTGCTGTGTTCCTCTTTGTAATAGTTGCACACTATTGCGACTTCTGCAAAATCTTTTCAACAGATAGAATCTAGTTTGGAAAGTCAAGATATTGCTGGATCTTTATTGCTATTGGCACAATGAAAGAGCATTATTCTGTTTTCATAATACTACAGAAGAATAATTATTTTATCAGATTCTATAAAATATACATTTTAGATTACATCAATAAAACTCATTATTCATGTAGGATATTTTAGCCGCTTATGAACGTCAAATTATATTATTGTATGTATTAATTTTTTTTCTCTACAATCTAGTTAGTATAGTATACAGATTTAATTGCGAGGTACTGGCAAGAATCTTAACTGAATTTCTTTTTTTTTTTTTAAAGTCAGCTTCTTTACATTTTAGGTATGCTTATATAGTTGCATGAACAACCATTGTCATGCACGTTTGTCATTTAAGTAATCGTTTAGTTATGATTTAATAGATGTTTAATATTTAAAGGTAACTCCAGTGTATCCTTTGGTATGTTATTGTAAAATTTTATACCCATTCCCACTTTTTCCAAACGATATTTAGAAACAAAAAGTTTGTCTTTAAATCTATTATTAATGTATGTAACGAGTTACTAATTTTCGTGTGCTATTAATTAAAATAAAGTATTTTTGCAGAAAAATGGTTCAATAAGTTCAACGGACTACTTAGAAACTTGGAAAGGAATGGAGGATGCAGTATTTCTGAACCTAACTAAGTCAATAGGAGTGTCAAATTTTAATTTAACTCAAATACAAAGACTGTGGAGTAATTCTATAATAAAACCAGCTGTTTTACAAACTGAGGTAAAGTATATTAAAATATGCTTGATTTATGAGAATGGTCAGTTTTCACGCATAATACAAGTTCAGTCTGTGACTAGATACCGTTACATGCTATGGATAGCCAAGTTTAATAATTATTTATATATTATTAAAGTAATATAAAAATAGCATCTATTTATACATACATGCAGAGTTTGTTATAAAATAAAACATGTTTTATTGACAATATCAAAAATAGTTCCAATGTATACTTATGAACAATACCTTCAATTATTTGGTCGAGTATATGTACTTGTTTATATGTATAAGAGACTTTTGTTTGGTTTCATAATATTATTTATAGATTGTTATCGGTGAACACAATAGGCACCTAGTGGGAGAATAATAGTCTATAAAAATGAGGAGGTTTTCAATTTCACTGTGTATTACATTTTTATGTATATTCGGGTATAGTCAAGTACATATTATATTAAATCCTTTCCTATAAAATTGCCGACACTAGTACTGGCTACTTTGATATTCGATATTTTAGAGATGCTATTCGAAATTCAAACTATGTATTGTAACAAAGAATGAACTTCTATGTGTAGGTACTATAAAAACTCGACAGAGTAATCAATATTACGTTTTTATAAAGATATTAGCTAACAATTGCTTGCAATTATGCCGTACTAAAAATAAAATTGTTATAGAGATACATAAAAAAAAACCTAGATTTTTTATCCTAGATAAAATAACTATAAATATTTATTGTTATAATACTGTATGGTAAAACTATAAATAGCCTGATGCATGGTACTATTTTCTCATGCTATATTTTAATAGACGATTTCTTTTAAAATATAGCATGAGAAAATAGTACCATGCATCAGGCTATTTATTGATTGGAAAAATGAATGTCACAATTCTTCTTAATCGTTCCCTCACTGCTGAGGATCGTGACTCTATACTATCTTGTCGACTAGCCGGCACCATCTGCTGCGCTCAGATGCCTGATGTATTGCGGCGCTGCCAGTAATATTATGTCACAATTAACTCCGTAAAATTATGTTTAATTTTTACTAATAATTAAATATTCTCTTATTACATTTAATAGGTAAATCCAACAATAACTGAAACAGAACTGATTAAATGGTGTAAAGAACATAGGGTGGTTGTAATGGCGTACAGTCCTTTTGGCGGTATACTTGGTCGCAAGACAAATGCGCCACCACCCCGCGCCGACGATCCACTATTAATAGGTTTAGCGGAGAAGTATAACAAGACAGTGCCACAGATTTTGCTACGGTATCTGGTATGTATGACAAATATAATATACTAGCTATTCGCCCCGGCTTCGCACGGGTGTACATGTATTATATATATAAACCTTCTTCTTGAATCACTCTATCTATTAAAAAATCGTTTAAAATCCGTTGCGTAGTTTTAAAGATTTAAGCATACTCGTACATAGGGACGAACAGACAGCGCCAGCGACTTTGTTTTATACTATGTAATAATAATGATAAGTACATATATCTAATTAGCCTGGCATTGCTTTACAAGTATTACAATTTTTCGGCTTTTCGTCTATTGCTGAAAACGGCATAAACAATTGGGTACTTTAAAAGATCTAAGACAGCGGGATCGTATTTTTTTATACTATGTGAATATAATTACTGTTGAATGACATAGGGAGACGCGTTATTGGACTCTATAAAATATTTATCCAACTGGTAACGTATGTTACTTGTAGTGTTTGATATCAAGCCACTACGACAGATTTATTATGTTATCTACTCTATTCATTTTTATGATATTATCGTGTTTATTTATTATATTCAGACAAAATCATACACAGGTTCATATAAAGTTTTATAACTTTTATTCAAACGAGCACCAGTGTCGTGCCCTATTCTTGTAGGTTAAAATAAGTTTTCAATTTTTATTTTTATTACAAATTTTATTTTAATAAATATTACTTATATTTCGCATTATATTATATTCTATACACTAATACGACTTAATGTATTTTAGGTGGATCGAAATGTATTGCCGATACCTCGATCTACTAACAAGGAACGGATCGAACAAAACATTGACATCTTCGACTTTCAGCTCACTTCTGAAGAGATTGCGGAATTATCGGCATTCAATAGAAACTATAGACTGAGGAATTTCGTAAACTGGTACGATCATCCGCAATTTCCGTTTGAAAGGAAGAGTCTCAGTCCGGGTGAAACACCGTATAAAGCTTAGTGACGACAAGCAATAGAGAAACGCTAACTGCTTTTAATTTGTATTTAGTTCCATTTCAGTAGACTTTGTATTTCAGATAACATCAAATTTACATGAAGATATTTAAATCATAATACATTATATACATTATTGTAATTACATAAATCCTTATTACACAAATATAATTACAGAATATATAAAATGTATGTATATAAAATAATACTACCTACCTGTATAGTAATAAGTAATTTTGTGACGACGACGAAGTAAGTATGAGTAAATTATTATTTTATCTATACCTATTATCTGTGTTTATTTATACATTACATAAAAAAATCATGTAGGTAATTTGAATAAAACTAGGGTTTACAATATTAATTATATACAAGTAAAACTGTCAGAACCTCATACACAATAACAATTTTAATTCTATTTACATATTGTATGTATTTTATAAAATCCAGACGAAGCTTCATAATTTCTCTGTTTATTCTATAAACAACAATGTAGAATAATAGGAAGTAATAAATGGTACAAAACACAAAAAGTAAATATTTTCAAAAATATTTTCTGTTGTTTTAATGGCTTAACTCGGTTCTTTCTGAATTTATTTCTATAATAAGTGTTCAATCAGGATACAATCTACAAAGAAACTTTTGCGAAATCGTATTATTCGCAACGATATTGGAGTTTGAACTGTTTTTGTTGTCTTAGTAAACCCACTTCAAAAATAAAAGCCAAGTATTCTCTGATAACCTTACTCGAATATACAAAGCGAAACACAATTTCTTTGGAACTGTCACTTGTTGTGTAAGGATTTTTGTAAATAGGCATACCTATATTGGTAATACAGAAATGATTATTTTTTGTTAGCAGCTAGCATTTATGAATTAGTATAGACTAGATGAGGCATTTAAATGATTCTACAGTTTCCGTTTATCATTTAAATATCTCAATACAATATATACACCAATATATTATTTCACATGTTCTATGCCTACGTAATATGAGAAATATTTGGAGAGTTAAAGAAATAGGATGTATCATTATTGTTTATTAATATAAAATAATTAATTTTTATTAAGATTATTCGTGCATATTTTGTGATAGTTAAAGTATGCACCCTAACAATCTCAAAAGTTTAGGATTTTGTTTAACATAATTTCTTATTGAATAGACTAAACTGTATTAGTAAATACTATTGCGAGGTGAAGAACGTTTCCAATAATTAAATAGCTACTATCTCTTCATCTCAAAGGAATCGTGTTAGCCTTTTTAATCTTCTTAGTATTATGTAATTGAATTCTTTTAACCGCGAGTATAAAGGAAAATACCGTCGCTTTTATCTGAGCCTTGAGGCTTTCGGATCACTTAATTGATTTGAGCGCAAGCTTTGTAGCTACTTCATGTAATAACGGAAAGCCAAGCAATTTATATATGACGTGGTCAGCTGCTCACTACGCTACTCACACAACTTTGAACTTTATGCATCAAATCATAACAATACAATTTGCTTAAACTCAGATTTATATTATTTTATTTCGTATCGATATTTATTAATGTCAGTTATTATATTATTAAAATGAATAAGTAATGAATTAATGAATAATATAATGATATAACACTTCACTGCTGAATATGTCTCCTACATAGATAGCCATAAAATAAGGTACTACGCCCTATGCATCAAATGGAAAGAATTGTAATCGACGTTTAAAGTTGTCGTTACTCTTAATTTTTGTGATAAACCGCCAATCTTTCCGGTTTTGAACTCATTTTTAATTATCTCTAATGTTATTGAAAGTGTAATAGCTCATAGACATAAATCGACTAAGCGTTTTTTGAGCAATGCATAAAGCATTACAAGTAAACAACTAAATATATAATATTAGTCCTCTGTGTAATATTAGTTTCAATTATTAATACACTCAATTCCCGATGAGGTATTAAATAAACAAAGACAGATTGAATAATTTTTGAATTCGTAGAATTTTCACTGAAACGAAGCCTTTGTGAATCTATTTCAATAAATTAAACTAGACAATTGCATGGTATAGTAATATTAAATAGGATAGTTTTAAGATATGGTATAACTATTTAGAGTAGTTGAACACCTGTAGATTTGTTTTTCAGTTCTCATATTTTTTAAGTCTAAGACCTAGCTGTACAAGCGACTATAGTTTTAATAATTATGTTATAATGTTCTCGTAAAAAATACGGATATCCGTATTTATCAGATTTTAATATTACTATTATTAAAGAATGAATTCTTTCTATTTTGTAAGCGGAGAATCAATTAATACGTTAGGTTTTTGGGAATTTTCATTTTAAATAGGTTATTAAGGAAATTCTATTCAAAATACATTTCATTGCCAAACCAAAAATATCAGCTGTGTCTGCCATGTTTTTAAGATAACTTAATGTCTTTACGTACTTAATATTTGGGTGAGTTTTACTAGTGTTTACTGTGAAAAACGTCTAATGTTATTTTATAAATTCTGAAACGCAATTATGTGACATTAGATGCAATTTATAATTTTTAAATATAGCAACCGAAACCAAAGTCAAAAGCATTTATTCATATAGGACATTTAAAACCATTTATTATACGAACATACATTATAATTCTATATTTCCGGAGTTCTATTATAGATCTACCACTGTAAAGTTCTGAAAAATTCACAAACCGTATACAGGGTTTTGTAATTAAAACTGTCAAAAGTCACATATAATACGTACCAATACATATTTGCAGACTGTCAAATACAGTCAGTTTCGAAAAGGAATTCTTACAATAGAGTTACAAAATCCTCGCGCTATTTATTACATTGTATAGTGACATCTCTGCTGCGAGCTAATGGCAAGCACAAAACTGGAAATACTCGCCGGTGTTTATTTTTGTTGACGTCAGTTCTGCCTACACGTACTGTATAACCACATTAGTTTAGAAATAAGTACACTAGCTAAAGATTGCTTAATGTTCGGATAGATGTTTGGACACTAGTCCATATACGATTAATTTGGAAATGATCTGTTTAAGTTCACTGTCTGGATTATATCCCAGTTACATATGCATTAAATACATATTTGCTTTGCAAATAGTTGTAGCGACACTTCATCACATAATATATAACGCTGCAGTGGTGAGGTCATAACCACTGCGTTACATAGTCATACAATAGTTATTTTGCACTAATCCTAAAGGACCTATAAGTTAGTCAGTATCCGCTGGCAGCGTACCATTAGTGAAAGTTGAAATATGGTCATGGTGGGAGTGGAGTGGAGTGCAAGTCGAAATTATATTATTTTATCTTCACAGCTAGCAAAGAAGTCAACAATCCTCTTCAAATAATAGTTTTCCTAATAATCGTCTTTCCTACAAGCCTTCGAGTTTTACACACTAAGTAATGGTACTTATTGCACTGACCATGTTATTATCAATAATTTCCATACTACCATGACAGTAATTTGAGAATAGAGACAGTATTCAGTTGTGTTTTAGATTTGTGTGTGTAGGTGTATTGTTTGTAATATAATTCGGGGTGTAGATATCCATTACATATGGAATGTAAATATAGTTAAGTAATTCAGGCCTTTATCATTGAAATCCATTGTTGTTGCTTGGATTTTTTGTAAGCGGTTTATTTATGAGAAAAGTTAAGGGGAGGTTTGTTTGTCCCAACATAAATTAGTCCGGCGACACAAACTAATTGACATCATTATGCGAGGATGGCCGCGACGCTTCCAACAGTTGTTTTAACTAAATACACTGTATTTAATATTTATTGGACATGAAACTTATTTTTAACACGGTTCCCTACCGGTAGCTATAATAATATCTCATATAATTTACTTTTCTTTTTACCAGGACATTAAGTGAATCAAAGGGCAAAACCAGCTCTAGTTATGTACGTATGTATACGTAATGTGATGTTATGTTAATTTGTGTATAAAAAAATATTGTTGAAACAAAATATTTAGTGTCAATTCGTTAATTTTTTTAAATCTTATTAATGTTATAAATGAATGGATGCATGTTTTTACTTTTCACGCAAAAACTAACGAACGGATTTGGATGAAACTTTACAGTAATATAGCTTGTACATCAGAATAACATATAGGCTATAAATTTTACAAGGGTGAAACTGTGGGCACAGCTAGTTATTAATATTTACATAGTATAACATAAAGCTGCTGTAGTTATTTTTACGCCTTTTAAATGTATGTCTTAAATTACGCAGCAGATTCTAATGCAATTTTTAGCACTATATATATATAGAGATTGAACAGGAAGGTTTATATATACAGTATATGCATATTCAAAGATTTATAATGTAACCAAATTAATTACGACCATGTGAAAGTATTTGTAGAAAAGCACACATTAGAAATATGAACAAAAATTACATATATACTTATCTCCTTTCATATATCTAGGTTGAGTTCCCCAGATTGCTATATATTTATAGAAAAATATCTAAATAAGGTGTCCAATCTGTACGAAATGATTATAATAAATTGTAATAACGAATCAGCTAAATATTTAACAACCATCTTGGCGGTCATTATAAACAACAGTGAGCCGAATTAATGGTGGCTGTTGTATATAAATGCACACGCTTTGTGCCCGCTGCCCGCTAAACGTATTGTGGTGCGATCCACACAGACAAATTACCAGCAGAATCAAAACTGGCGCGCTGAAAAAGCTTACAGATACCTACTGCGTTCACAGAGGAGTAAGTATATCATCTCTACAAAGTAATTGCGAATTCAAATTATGTTTATTCATGTAGGTCTATTATAGACTCTTATGATATACATTATTTGTTAAGACTCGGTTAATAATTTAAATAATGTATATTAAACACGAAAGTTTAAAAGTAACTCTTATGATATGTCAAATGTACCGTCACTTCGGAATGATTTAGTGATGAGAAGAACTGACAAGAACTCGACTGACAAGAGACTCGTATTCGAGCTGAGTTTCTTGTCAATTTATATTTACTTCACTTGTCAGTACAACATATATTTTTCAATTAAATATTGTACATGTTTACAATAATACAGTTTTTTTAAATAAAATATGGAAGAATGGAGTGAGTCCAGCATATGCTATTGCAAAAGAAAATAGTCTAATCGGTGTTCGCCCGAAACCGAACAGACCAGTCCCCACAAGCAGCACCCGGTAAAAAAACTATAATTGTCTCTTTACATACCACCATGTTTAAACCTACCTAAATGGTACTAAAACTAAACTACCTAAGAGGCAATTCTCGATATTTACCTAACATTATAAAAACAGAGTGACTGTGATTCATATTAGGGGGAATATTGGCTCCATTGCAAACAATGTGCCCTATCAAGTCAATTTCTGTGCTGTCTCCCTTGAAGCCAACGTGGTTAATACCTGAGGCTACCAACAATTTGGGCTTTGTCGCAATTACCAAAGTTTAAATTAAGCAACCTGATTTTATCCTCATCTTTTCATCTCTCGCCTACCATTATCATCGAAAAGATCACAATTCCATTATCAACGA